ATATATTAACTATACTACATCATTTATTTGACAAAGAAAATAATTAAAGTTAACTAAATTTTAAATTTTAATTTTTTCTTTTTTTTTTTAGTAAAAGAAGAAAAAAATTAACCTTTTCTTTTTTTTTTTTTTGTTTCTATTTTATAGACAATGATTCGAATATGGGATTGTTTCCTTTTGGATGGTACAAAAGTGCTCTTTCGATTTGCGCTTGCAATTTTATCCATTCATGAAAATGAGGTGCTTCAACGTTGTGATACCATATCAGTTATCAAAATTCTCAAAGCATCCGTTCGTTTAACATATGATTACGAAGGATTGTTTAATGTTAGTTATATTTTTCAAATTACTGTATAATTATTGAAATTACTATATATTACCGTTTCAAATTACTGTATAACTATTAAAATTACTATATATTACCGTTTCAAATTATTGTACAATTATTAAAATTACTGTATATTATCGTTCAAATTATTGCATAATTATTTGCTAAAAATTTGTACGATTTTATAAATGTTATATACACAGATAAATATGGTCGAAAATCATTTTTGGAAACGTGAAATGCGTGAAATACGTGAAATGCTTGATTATTATTAGCATTGCAAAATTTTGCTTTATTAGCACAAAATTACAAATTATTTACTTACTTATTTTTTCCCTTTTTATTTTTGTTTTTACATTTCAGATTATTAAGCATTAAGCATGAGAAAAAATTAAGTTAAAAAGAGAAAAGAAAAGGACAAGAGAAAAAAGTGAAAAAAAAAGATCATGCAAGTGTTATTAATTTATTTGATATAAAAAAGAAACAAATAAAAGAAGGAAAAATTAAATACTGAAAAATATTTTTATAAATTAATTTTAAAAAATAAAGATGACAAAAAAAAGTTAAAAAATTGTTGATAATTTTAGTTAGCATTCGACAATATGCAACCATTTCCATCACATTCTGAAATTGAAAATAAACAAAAATGGTATTTAAATATATTACGTGAACGATTAAATCGTAAACAACAATTACGAAAAGTATTCACATCTTTATCATTGGTAAATCTTTTCCAATTCTAGTCTAAAATTAAAGTAAAAAAAAAAAGAAAATTTTAATGATAACAATTATCAGTTCAATTATAAGTTTACGTTTTGCACGTGCAAATTATATTTACGTCAAATATTATTAAACAAATTTCATATATTTAAATGAATACAAAAATTAAAAAATGCAAGTTTCACAAGCGATAAATTTCGAAAATTCTTTAAATGGTTTAATTTTTCTTTCATAAATCATAAAAAAAAACAAAGCAATTACAAGAAAACAGAAATAGAATTTCAAATTATAAAAGTAACGTTTCAGGTTATATAAAAGGTTGTGAAAATTTCAGGGTTTCAGGTTATATAAAAAAAAAATCATGAGTAACCAATGTTAGTAGCCAATGGATAGTTATATGTTGTAGCCAATGAATAGTTATATGAAATAGTTAGCCAATGAATAGTTATATGAAATAGTAACCAATGAACAATTATGAAAATTTTTTTCCCTTTATTTTAATAAATATTAAATAAATGAATAAAAATAAACGAATTAATGGACTAAAATGTATTAAATCAAATAAATTAATTAATACAAGCAATTGAATGAGTAAATTAAATGAGGAATTAGAGGGGGGGAAAAAAAGAAACAGGAATAGTAATAAATATGATATTTTGATAACAGGAAAAATCACGATTTCCAACGATTGAAGTTGTGACATTTAGTATGACACATGAAGGTACAGGTTTCATTTGTGCTGGTCATCAAACAAAAGGTATTATTATACGTTTCACTCTTACTAACAATATTTCAACTATGAATAAACTTGATACTGAAGTAAGTTATATTTTGAAATTTTTCATTAATAAATTAATGTTATAATTAATCGAATTAAATTTTATGATTAAGTTATGAAGTGTTTTTTTCTTTTCTTTATTTTAATCATTACTCAAAAATTAATCTTAAGTTTTTTTTCTTATAATTTAAATTAATCTTAAGTTCTTTTTCTTTTAATTTAAATTAATCTTAAGTTTTTTTCTTCTACATATCAAATATCCCTTTAAAATTAAAATTTTCTAAAATTAGGATAAGTTTTCGGAAAATTTTTTTTCTTTTTTGCGAAACCATTTACTAAAATTTGAATTTGAATGAATTGAAAGTAATAAAATTAATTTGTTGTGAAAATTATTTTTTTAAATAAATTTTTTAAAATTATTGTAAATTACAAATTATCACATTTTCTAACTTTGTGAAAATTGTTTTCTTTTTTCCTTTTTTTTTTTCAAATATTTTCACAAAATAATGCATACAATATTTGTGCATTTTTTAAAATATATTTACTACAGTTTATTATCTTAATTAAATGCTATTTTTCATTGACGTTTAATTAATTTTAATTTTTTAATTAAAATATTTGAAAGAAATTTTTTAGTTTGATTGTAAAATTTTTTCAATGGCATTAAGAGAAGGTGAAATTGGATATGTTTCATTGTTATCTGGTTATATTGTTGCATTACAAATTAATGATACAAAGAGGTATACTTTTGTAATTCAATTAATAAATTTCATTTCATTATAATATTACCGTAATCATAGTTTAACCAACCATTATATTTTTGCAATTTAATCACATAAAATTAATTTTATTTTATAAATTACTCCTTTCTTCAATCAAAAAATATTTTAATCAATAACACATGAAATTATAAATTAAAAATTTACAGCGAAATATTATGGGAATTGAAAATATCTGATATTGCACTTAAATTATTATACAGCGATAAATTACTGTATGCAGCACTTGCAAGTGGTGTTCTGACCGTTTTTGAGGTATATATTTCGATAATTGCTTAATTAATCTTTTTTTTTTTCCTGCCATAATCATTGCTTATCAGCTAATCAAACACTGATATAAGCTATCAAAACATGAAAATGATGAAACAAATAAACTATATAAACTTTTTCAA